GCTGTGCGAGTCCACGAGCCAGTGGATCAATTGATGGCTCGTTTAGATGATTTATCCAGACAAGTCGATGCTTTGATACGGAGTAGCAGTGAGAACAAAGTAGCTGTAAGGTGTTGGAGATGTGGTAGTGAAGGTCACTTAAGACGGAATTGCAGAACACCCCAGGGTACGAAATATAAAGCAGATGATTTTACCAGACTAGTCAGTGGCTTGAGACGGAACAGAAGTGAAAAGAAACCGATCCTAAAGTGCTGGAACTGCGGAGTTGAAGGCCACATACGAAGAAACTGCAGAACACCCCAGGGTACGAAATATAAAGCAGATGATTTTACCAGACAAGTCAGTGGCTTGAGACGGAACAGAAGTGAAAAGAAACCGATCCTAAAGTGCTGGAACTGCGGAGTTGAAGGCCACATACGAAGAAACTGCAGAACACCCCGAGGTACGGAAAATAAGACCATTTCCCAACAACGACGCAGTAAACAAATTAGTGACCATATCGAGGAACGGAGTTTGCCAGATAATGAAAAATCTTGTTTTAAAGCGCTTAAAATTTATACAGTGAGTAGCAACAGTAACGGAATGTCCATTAATGAGAATATCGATGGAGTTCCTTGCAATATGATCATTGACACAGGAGCTAATGTTACCATCATTAGGAAAGATTTAGCTGAACAGTTTAAAGATAAACTTATTTGGACGCCATCCTGTGTTACCCTTCAGACTGCGTCTGGTGAAAAGATCGACATAGCTGGGAAATTAAACGTGAAAATCACATTTGGAAGTGCCGCCTACCATCACACGGCATATGTGGCGGATATTACAGATCCATGCATACTCGGATTGGACTTTTAAGGAAATACAATTTTTCCTTAGACTTGAAAAACAACAAACTGCTTTCAGGATCTGAAGACATGACTATCCATCCTAAGAAGGGATCCTCACCTGGAAATGCCGACGCTTTGTCCGAAAGAACCAGCTCGAGAAACAGCCGAAATCATGCTAGGGTCGAAAAGAAACACCAGACTACCAGCTATTCTCCATCTCAGATGCTCTTCGGTCGAGACCTTCGTCTGCCTTGTGACCGCCTGTTTCATCGCCGTACAGATGCGCCTTCATCGCCTGAGGAACACATCCAAGATGTCAAGGCCCGTTTTGAAGTGATGCACCGTTCCGCACGAAAGCGAGTGAACTTGACGACGGAGAAAGTGAAGACCAGATACAACGCGAGAGCTACTGGACATAGATTCAACAAAAGAGACAAGGTGTGGGTGTGGAACCCGATTCGAGCGAAAAGGAGTCTGGCCTGAATTACAATCACCTTCGGGATGGTCTGCACACAAGTCCTGAAACAGGCTGAGTGACGTTCGTGGTTCGGATCCGTAAGTCTTCGAACTCTAAACCTAAAGTCGTTCATTACGAACATGGTTAGCTCATTACTATGGCCATAGTTATATAATGTAAATAATTGTAAATAGTGTAAGACCATGGCCCATTTTTGTTTCTAAATGTGTATTTGATTTGATTTGTATTTAGTATTCGATTTGTATTGGATAGCATTTGATTTGTTTTATTTATTGCATTATTGTTCATGTTGTTTATTATTGTAATGTAATGCTTATTAATGCATTTATGCCACAGTTGTAAGTTTAGCTTCCTGTCCAGGGATTGTACTGCCCGGGACGTGCAGTCCTTGGGAAGGGGGCAGTGTTACGAATTTGGTATTTAAAAAGCTAATATTAGTTCAATTATAAATTAAATGATTTTATTCTCGCGCAGTGCAGCGCGTGACGAATATTAAAAGAAAGCTAAGCCGGAAAATGGAAAATTGAAAATACAAGAGCGCGTGCATTAAATAAATAAATATCTCTTTTTGATTTCGAGAAGTACTGGAAAATTCTAGCGAGTGTGATTTTAAAATCTTATAAAAGGAGGAAAACATCTCAGTTTGTAGTTAGTTGCTTGCTTAGTTTGTTGTTGTTTAGAAAAACTGCTCTTGTTGATTGTAGCGAATTCGCAGATTAGCGTTCTTTCTTTAGCTGTTTTGAATTACGTTCTATTGGATATTTGAGTAGTTAAAAAAGATAACTACTGTGATATATTGTAATACTGCATGATAATTTGAGAAAATTTAAGCATTTTTGTTGTGATAATAATAAATTTTTGTTCATTTTTCATCGGACTCGTGCATTCATTTCATAACGAACCCGTACGCACGCAACAATATATTGTTAACTATATTTTCATTAAGGACAGATATTGTATATTTTATAATAAATAAATAACGAACGTGTGAACTATTTCTAAGATAACCACCCACCATTGAAGATCATCCTGGTCTTCTGTGATCGTCTTACAGAATGAGCAATATGCTAGAGTTTATTGTATTTAATGACTACAACAAACCATTGTGTTCCCCTGAAGTTTATAAAAAATGAATTACTGGAATATTTTTAAAGAATTATGTGTTCTGGTATTGATCATTTTGCACTATAAATCTCTGATTTTAATAAAAGTTTTAAAATGAAAAACTGTTCACTTTCGGAAATGCGACAAATGTTCTCTTTCTTGGTTCTCTAATTGGCAGTCCTGTAATACGGAAGAATCTTTATGAGTTGCATTTTTCTTTATCATTCCATGGCTTTTCGTGCAGTTAAGTCTGTGGAAAACGTTAATATATTTTATCTAACTGCAAGATACGAACGCAGATATAAAAATTAAAATCAGGCTTAGGCAAAGATTTTGAATTAATCTTTATAAATTTCAAAGCCTATCTGATTTACGCCCATTTCCAAAACAATTTTTTTCTCCCTAGAGATCTCCTCTGGAAGTGACCAGCATTTCTACTAAACAAATTTCTGTTTTGAAAGTTACCTTTCTAAACAGAACTTCTCTACAGAAGACCGAAATCAACTAGAATCAATCAAGTATTTGATTGTCATCATTACTGTTTTATAGAAATAAATAATATTACTGCCAAAACTCTTTTGTAGTTTTAAGAGATTGGTTAGATGAGTTTAAATGGATATTTCTATTTTAATACTTTTTTGTTCTTTAACTTATTCTGTGTTTTTAATAATGAAGCGGATATTAAACTTGCTTTAGCTTGTGATTTAAAAAATTAAAAGTAACGATGTAACCCAACGGCTTTCAAGCGCGAGATCACGAGAAGACAAGAAAATGGTAATGGCAACAGTAAGAAAGAGTTTCAAAGAAAAACGATTCTTAGAATAACTGTAACTAACAAAACTTTGTAAGGAATAAACAGCGTTTTAACGACATTGAAGTGGATAGACCTTGAAGGATAAGTATTAACGATAGGATAGGATTTCTGTAGATATTTTGTCTTCTGTTTTTTAGCTTTTACTTGACTGGTAATTCTGGTAAAATCCTAGTATACGATACCGCGTGGACGCAATTTTGAAACTTGCCGCCAACACCTAAATGACTCGCTTACTGCTCATCATGATTACCGCTTTTACCGCTCATCATAATCTCGCCAAACGTCATCATAGTCCGTGCGTGCTCTGTACTTGGATTAAACCGTAATTCTTTATTTTATGATGTGAATAATAAAAGGTGTATAAATTTTAGCAATAAAATTATCTATTGTAATACCAACACACACACACCTTCAGTATAATGTTAGTTTTAAAGGATAAATGTAAAATATTTAAGAAGTTAACAAGGCTTAGATTTATGGCACTTTCATTATAACCGTAATGTATCTATATATTGTTACGGATTTTGTATTTATTTTGCTATTTTTAATAGAATTTTTAATTAAATTTGGTTCATATTCCCGTGCAATGCAGCACGAGACTTATTTGAGAAGAAATCTACGACGGGAAAACTACAATACAGGAGCAAGCACATTTAATCTCGTAATTGTACTCTTTTGCTATACAGAAAATCGAGAAAATGCCAGTTCTTGTGCAGAATTAAAAAGAGTGTAAAAGCTGGAGGAAAATATCTCAATTCAGTTATTTACTTATTGCTGTTATTGATTGTAGCGAATTCGCAGTGAGATAGGATTAGCGTTCTCAGTGTTTTGAATTGAGTTCTATTCAACGTTTAAATAGTTTTTTTTTTTTTTTTTTTTTTTTTTTTTTTTTTTTTTTTTTTTTCATACAGATTTCCCGAGCACCACATATGGACAACACAGGGATTACAGAAGTACGTTAACTATTAATAGTTACATGCATGAATAAAACGAACAAAGGCAGAGAACAGGAGTCTGGACTTAAAAAAAAAACAGACCTTGGAACATAATAATAAATTATCTTTCAAATCATCTCGACGGTGGTTTAAAAATTGCATTTGCAGACGAATTACTTTTAATTTTCCAAGGAAAGACTTTGAATAACATTCTTTTGAGAGTACAAGAAGTTCTAGAATTTGTCTCCAGTTGAGCGATTTCTCATAAACTCACTTTCAATCCCTCAAAAGGTAAAGCTATGATTGCTCCCAGAAAGATTAATGGACAAAATATTGCTCCTTTGTTACTCGATGATTCTCCGCTGTTGAAACATTAGGAAGATACTTAATATTTTCTACAAATTCAGTTGTCATTCTTGACCAAAAATTAACATGGAAAAAGCCCATTGAATTCCTTTCTGCTAAATGTGAAAATTTAAATTTAAATTAAATTTAAATTAAATTTTTATTATTTTTTCATATTTGTAATTTTTTTATCAATCTTCTTTAAGGGGTTCTATTATAATATGAAATTTTTTAAGATTTTTTTGCATATTTTTGTATATCAGTGCATAATACATTACATAAAACTGTGCAAGAATTTTAACATTTCTATTGTTTTCAATGCAAACGTATTATCTTTATTAAAATATCCTAAATCTGCAGATGTAAAATCTGTAATTATAAAACCTTAATCATCAAATATTTGCTATTTCAACTTTGTTTAAAATACGAATTGTATTTAAAATTATTTCAATTAGCTAGGTTTATGGGAAAAGGGATAAAGGAAGACAAATGATGAATTTCCATTTTAGAGTATTTTATTTCAGAACTGGAAACAGAAAGGTAATCGAGGAATTGGAAGAAGTAAAGATAAAAGGAATTAAGATATTTCCATCATTTTTGACTTCATCATCGTATTTCATCACAGAATTTTTCTCATTTACTACCTGAAAAGAAGTAAAATACATAATTATTGCAAAGATCATACATATTTATGGCAACAAAAAATATTTTTCAAAGCTTAAGTTGATTAAATGTTTTCATAATTATTGATTTCTTTGAAGTTTGATTTTTTTTATAAAATTATAATGTGTACTACTTATTTACTTTTAGATTTTTAAATTATAGAAAATGAAAATATTAAAATAATCAAAAGTTACGTTTTCTTTCCAAATTCTATTTCAATAATAAATATTTTTAATTTGTTCTGTTCGGTTTTGAAAAGAATTTGTAGTAATCTGTGATTTTACATTTAATAAGCCAAAAAATGTAACTAAAAAAATAATCAATACAGTTTTTCTTCAAGCATCTATACCATGTTTTAAAATTCTTTGCCGCTATTACAGCTGGTTGCTAATCAAGCCTTTTAAAAATTCGCATTTATTTGGCAACTAAGGACAAGTTTTCTGTTTGGAAATAATAATCTGTGCAGTTTTAAAGTAAATATTTAAACATTAATAATTAGGAAGAAAACAACTTTCAAAGAGAATCTCAAACTCGAATGCTTTATTTACGTTATCAAGTTGTAATCGCATTAAAATTTTTCGCCTTACTTAAGTACTAGCAGCTGAACGGCCAGCCTTCGCCTGGCTTTTAAATGTACCCGAAAAATGCCCGAAGGGAACAACACCAAACATTAGATTTAAAAACTGCGCAGAATTTTACTCTGCAGAAAACTTCATCAAAAAAAAAAAAAAAAAAAAAAAAAAAAAAAAAAAAAAAAAAAAAAACCCACAAATTAAAAAAAAAAATGTATTACATATAACAAAATTACAATGTAGTAAGCAATATCCCTTAATACAAATATTAATTATCCTAACAAATAAAATTAACCAGTTTCCCGTTGCCTTCTCTCAACAAACGTTCCAAGAGAAACATTAAATTTAAAAACGGCATAGAATTATCGCACTCATTTTTCCAAGAGGCAACAGCGCTAATTTTCAACAATCAGCAGTCCAGTATACATTTGAATGAAAAACTGTTGCCAAAACCACATTTCTAAAGAATGAAACTATTCAAAAAGATAAAATTTTAAAACAAATCTGATTCGAATTGCGAAAAAATCGCTTCGAGGTGCACTGGCTCTTGTCTAGATCCACCTGTATACCAAATTTCGTAGGATCCTGCGTAGCTTACGCGCAGCACGAAAGAAAGACACACAGATTCTTTCTTTTATTAAAGATAAGATTATGAAAAGTTAACATATTTTTGTAATCAAATATGTGTTTCTGTAACTTATTTTAAATATCATAAAAAGTCCTTACGAATTATGATTTTCAAGAAATTGCGTTAAAATTTTTCTTTTAATTTTTTGTAGGAAGAGCATCTAAAGTTTGTTATATTAACTTAAAAAATATAAGCAATTATATATAAATAATTGGATACATTATTTTTAGTCAATGAAATGCTGAACTATCTTATTCATGAAAAATAATCAATTAAAATTTTTTTCTTTAAAGTAATCATATGAGAAACATATCTTGAAAATCTTTAGTTATAGAAAATCTTGAAGTGAATTTCATAACAACTTGTTTTATAAGAAAACTAGAGAGTAAGTCCCTCTATATGAGCTGGATACTGCCAAAGCAAAATTTGTAACGTCTATGCACATTTGAAAAGAAAGTGTATAAAAATATTTCAGTGTGAATGAAATCGGTTTATTCTTTCCAAGCTACAACCAATTCGTAAATATTTTTTTTTTGTCGCCAAACCGGGAAACAAAAGCTTTTGACACATCAGATTAATACGCATACGTATGATGTCATGATTTAAATTTAGTGTAATATAACGATTTTTTTAACATTTTCAATAAAAGAATTTACGTGGCAATATCAAGTTAGTTATCGAGTCAGTTTATCAGGTTCAATGTTTCTTCTATCCTTCTTCGGAAACATACAATGACCTGACTAGAACAGAGAGCTTACTAAAGCTATGTTCACTAATTGTAGTAAGTAGACAGGATACAGACGAAGGGTATACAAAACCCTTTATTTTTTTCTTTATACAATGAACTTCCGTACTTCGGAATACAATGACCCTCCACTCGGGGTCTAACTTAAAAGATATCAAAATAAAACTAAACTCTAATTTAACTTTAGAATAAGATTGGCCTTATAATAACAGGAAGCGTATGTAGCACAGAGACTGTGAACACTACAATACGTTTAATTTATCAAGAGGATTAAAACCTCTGGCCTGGAAGGCAAAGTAGCAACTGCGTAACTTCTAAGGTAAGCGGCCTGCTTCGAACTCACGGCTTCCTCTCTTTCTGCTTGGCAAAAAGGCCACACTTAAATACTTGGCGTTCGCCAGACAACTTTGCATAAACTCCTTCACGCTTATAATTCTGGCCGGAAGTAGAAAATAAGAAGTGATAGTAAAGATTTAAAATAAAATAAACGTTAGTAAAACTTAAGATCCTTACATACTTCCCGCCAGAGTTAATTAGTTTGAAACTGAGGTCTAAAACGACCTTGTTGAAAACTTTTAGCTCTAGAAACTAACGCGAGCAGGCCAAACTTTTACAAATCATAACTTAGCTAGAAACTAGAAAATTTTAAAAGAAAGAAATTTGTTACAATAGCAGCTCCCGGAATATACAACAATCTCTTTTTTTTTTCATCTGTACTGCATCAAAACAGGAGCTTTATTCAATTCTGGTTCCTTCCAGAGATCTGGAAGGAAAACTAGTTTAATGAAATGTTACAGAATGACATTGCAAATAACATAGAATATACTTTTCTTAACATTCTTATTTCATTCATGACTATTTTAATTATCTCTCCCCGTGCTCTCTGACATGTGTTGTAAAAACACCAAACACGAATGTGTTTCTGTCTATGTGTTCAACACTTCCTCCTACAATCAAAACACTAACGTGTTAAAATTCAACATACGAGACCTCTTAACACACCCTAATTTCAACTCTAAACCCTGAGGTACTATTCTGAAAGTGGCTAACTCTAAAGTGTAGCGTCAGAGAGCCTAACTACATCATTCAACCTTTAACACATATTCACCATGATTTAATCTTTACAGTCACACGAATAACAAATTTTTTAACATTACTTTCACTTTTACCATATCACGTTATTTCTAAACATTCAAAATAACAGTTCACATGTATACAAGAACATATCAAGATGCCGTTAATTTTACACATTTGAAAACATACATTAGTAGTACATTGTTAACTTCTATTCTTTTCAAAGCAAGTGCCAATTCTTTCTACATTGAAATACTACATTTCAAAAAGTCTTTCAGACTAAAACTTCTTTCTTGTTAGAATGTTTTAAATAAAATTTATACAATAACTTTTTACAATATTTAAGTCTTTACACAACGCTATTATACATCAACTTTAGTTTTACACGCGCGAGTAATTGAAAAAACATAATAAGAAAATCGGTCACAACTCATTTCTCTCGCCCTTTTGGCGATAAAGGTAGACCTCGCATGAGGTAAAACTTCTTGAAATCTGCCACTTGCAGTAAGAATGAAAGATTAACTTAAGTTTGTAAAGTAACATAAAATTTTACTTATCTTTGTAATATTCAGACATCCTTTTCTGGGCCCAGTCTTTAAAGGTGCTGCAGACCGTAGCTTGGTTTGATCCTCCTTCTTGTACGGGCTCGCCCTTCAGTGCTTTCCTCTGGAAGCTTCCGTTTTTTCACCAGTACGGCCACCCTTGAACATCTTCCTTCTGTCCTCTGCTTGTGGTCTTGGCCGTTTGAAGGCAGCTGGTCTTGGTGGAACCGGGAAACTTCTGTCGTGATCCTGCTTGGACCTCGTTGTTGGCCGTTCAAATTTTTCTTGTACTTTTTCCTCCGCCGCTGATGGCCCTTCCGCAGTTCGGCGACTTTTGCTGCGGAGAGTTCTGTCGGATGAGTCAATCTTCCGTTTCACAGCCGGGTTATAGTTGCCGTCCTTTCTCCCGGTCTTTTCCACATACGTCGTCCTTCTCCCTTCTTCATTCTGGGGGTGTTCGTGAACTCTGTTTTTTTGGACGGTGGAACGGCTTCTTTTTCTTGTTACCTTCAATTTTTCCGCGGGGCAATTTTCTTTTCACTTGCTTCTGTCTCTCATTGGCTTGCCCTTGTACTTGTCGTTTTCCCCACCTCTGGAACTTGTACCTGCGGTGTCTGCCGTACCGGATCCTGCAAAAGATCTGAAAAGATTTGCATTTTATTACGATCATAGAATGGTTTTATCTGGTCAATGTTTGCGGAACAGGTTTCACCATTTCTTGGCCTTTAACACTACAACAGCGTGAGTTATTTTTTCTATAACATATGGTCCTTCAAATCGTGGAAAAAATTTGGCAGTTTTATCTTCTGGTGCTGAAGAAAGTGAATGCTTAATTTTTAGTACTTCATCCCCTACTTTATAAGTTACTCCCCGTCGTTTTCAAGTCATAATACAGCTTTTGTTTTCTCTGTGCTACTTCTGTATTCTTTTTTGCTTCTTTTATTAGTTTTTCTATATCACCCATTTTAAATTCTGGGGCTCTTTGTTGCACATAAAATAGTTTATCTAACGGTGTTATAACCTTTCTGCCTAGAAATAACTCAGCAGGAGTTTTGCCCGTTGTATCATGTTTTGCGGTCCTAAGGGCGAAAGCAAATTCATTGACATAGTTATCCCAGCTTTTATGAAAATTTTTAACATAACTACGGATAATTTTCACTATATTTCTGTTGACCCGTTCCGCTATATTTGATTGCGGCCGATACGGGACCATTTTTAAATGACGTATGCCCAGTTTTTGGCACATGTCTTCAAATATATTACTTACAAATTGAGGACCATTATCCGATATAACTTTTAGGGGCGCCCCGTATTTTAAAATATATTTATTTAAAATAGAATCGGTAACTAATTTCGCGGAGGCTCGTTTTAAGGGAACAATTTCGGTCCATTTACTAAAATGATCAACTATAACAAGGAG